AATCATAGAAACCAGTTGCGTACTACTACCACTGTAGGAGGTATACACGACTACGTATTGAAATTGTTGGGTGCATTGTTCGTACGGAACGGCATCTTAGTAGATTTGTGACATCTTTTAAGCCTATTTATAAATGTTTATGAAAACTTTACTCAACTGTACTTTACTGCAGTGAAGTGTCTATATGTAATATTTTATGATTACAATACATGGAAGAGATAACATTTAAAGAATTTACTAAATTGATCATATTGCAGTACATTGGTAGTTTAATCATTACAAGCATACAAAAGTCATCAAATATGTGCTCTTTATAATACTGTCACAAACTAGCAACATGTACCAGTTTCGCACGTATACAATTGTTATAGAAATCTATTTTATTTATTAGATTAATGTTACGAATATAACAACGCCGCAAGTAAAAACTAGTACTCACTAAATATAAAATAGTCTTAAACATCATAATAAAAAGTTCAAGCTCTTTCCAATAAAACTTGAAAAAGAATTGAAGATATCTGAAAACTGCAGTTTATCTCAAGAAATTTGCTCTTACCGCATCCCTTTTAATTAGTTAGATATCTGCGTTAGATAGATGGCGTTGTTTTGTAGCGCCATCTAGTAGAGTTTTCGCGCACCAGTACATACCATAGAAACAGATTAAGTACCTCAAGTAATGAAGAGATGGCGCTGTAAACGTTTCTGTACAATTAAAACGAGTCGAAGAAAGCCTATTCAGAGGAGAATAAATATATATATTTCCAATACTACTTTTACTCCCCGTTATACGCGAATTTCACATAAGTAATACATTTATAATATAATTCTTAGAAATGTATATTAAATAGATAATTGACAACAGCGTATTTTTAAATTACTTAAGAGCTTAATACCGAGCATGCGCACGCCGCATCCCTTCACAGATGTAACTACATATTTCATAGTTAAAGTCGTTTTATAACGCCATCTAGTAGAGTTATGACATAACAATAACAGTCCATAGCAATGCTCATAACTTTATCAGGTGGCGCCTATGAAGCTTTTGTTAGGATTTAAACCAGTCGGATAATTTCTGAACTGAAAGGAAAAACTATTTTCCACATTATATTCAATGATGTATGATGTGTATTTAACAAAAATGTATTAGTTTATAAGAAGAATAACTGTAACTACTTAAATTGGTGTCAATAAAATATATTATATTATATTATTCAAATTCCGTTGTAAACGAACATTAATCTTGAAACACACTTCAAAATGTGTTTCATTACATACATATTTAATGGCTGCTTTGTTTCAGACAATAGAAATAAAAATTTATTCATGTAGAATTTCAGCTGCCGCTTTTGAACGTGTAGTTTTTTGTATTATTTTTTTTCCCTATCGTCCAGTTCTGTATAGATTCAAATGCGAAGAACTAAAGAAACTCAACTGAATATCTTCTTTTTTTTAAGCCATTTTATTTTCATTGTGTACCTATGTAGGTGTCTACATTAAATGAAAATCCTGTGCATAAACAACTATCACCGCGCGAGTTTGTCACACATAAACACACTTTGTCTGGCGCCGCCATCTTGTTGGAATTTGACAGCTACATAGAACGCCGGGCATGCGCGCACCGCAGCGCAACCCTTTCACAGTAATCGATATTTATTACATATAGATAGAGGGTTATGTTGTAACGCCATCCTGTAGAGATCTGAACGTACCACCAACATCCCCATAGCTAGTATCTTAAAACGCTATTATATTTTCAATGAGATTACAACATGTCGGATATTTTTTCCAATAGAGGAGAAAAAATACTCCCAATATTATATTCATCCCCTGTTATACACAAATATTTATTTGACAATGCATTTCTAAAATTATATTTATTGAAAATGTAATTAACTATACCTAAACCAGTCTGTGTATTTTTTTCTGATAGACAATTTACTTATATATGTATCTTTGTCTTACAACGCCATCTTGTAGATTATTGCGCAATAGAACTCCGGGCATGCGCGCACTGCACCCCTGTCACGTTGGCCGTTTATAATTTAAATAAGTAGCATGTTGTCAAGTTCGGAACGTACCAGTAACGTTGGGGACGTTACTGGTACGATACGAATTACCTTAAAACTTTACCAGATGGCGCTATGACGTTTTTAATCGGATTTAAACAAGTCGAATAATTTTCGAACAAATATTACCGATACTATATTAATAATTGGTTATACTTGAATATTAAGAAAAATATTCAGTTTTAAAATTATGTTTCTTACAAATGTATATTAACTATGTAAGATAGGTATCTAATATTGTCTAGCGCTGCCATCTTGTCGAATTTTGACAGCTACATACAACGCCAGGCATGCGCACACCATCCCTTTCGCAGTGATCGATACCTATTAGATATAGATAGATAGTGTTATTTTATACCGCCATCTTGTAGAGTTCTGAACGTACCACCAAGATTATTATATTTTCAATGAGATTTAAACATTGCGGATATTTTTCCAATACAGGAGAAAAAGTATTCCAAATATTATATTCAAAGTGCAAATCAAAGTCTTTGTATTTTTTGCGATAAACACTTTACTTATATATGTATCTTTGTCTTACAACGCCATCTTGTAGTTCATTGTGCGATAGAACGCCGAGCATGCGCGCACTGCACCCCTATCACGTTGGCCGATTCTTATTTAAATAAATAGCATTTTATACAGTTTTGAACGTACCAGTATTGTCCTCATACCTAGTACCGTATAACTTTACCAGATGGCGCTATGACGTTTTAGTTGGATTTAAACCAGTCGGATAATTTCCGAACAAACATTCCCAATACTATATTCATATTCCGTTGTACACAAATAATAATGTTTATTCACACTTTTAAATTTGTGTTTGTTACAAATGTATATTAACTATGTAGTTAATGCTCTTTTTAAATAATACACTTCTCAATATAGATAGGTATCTAACATTGTCTTGCACCGCCATCTTGTCCAATTCTGACAGCTGCATAGAACGCCGGGCATGCGCACACCGCAAGGCATTCCTTTCCCAGTAATCAATAATTCGATACTTATTAGATATAGATAGGTAGTGTTATTTTATACCGCCATCTTGTAGAGTTCTGAACGTACCACCAATATCCCCATAGCAAGTACAATAAAATTTTAATAGATGGCTCTACGATATTTATGATGGGATTTAAACCAGTCCATTCAAGTGAAGTGAAAACAGAGGCGAATATTTTCTACTATTCATATTTCATATATTCATCTTCCTTTATAATTTTAATAAAATTTCTATTTAAACATAAATTTATAAAATTGAGTTTCTTAGAAATTTATACTCGTTAAACTTAATTAACGACCGCGTGACATTATTTTTTTTTACTATAACACTTATATAGAAAGGAAAGAAGGCAAGATGGCGGTGCAGGACAGCACCGCCATCTTGTCGAGTTTTGTTAGATGGAATGTCGGGCATGCGCACACCGCATTTGTTCGCTGTGGTCGACACTTATTTAGACGCCATCTAGATTTCTGAACCTACCACTAATAAATACAACACAATTCTAACAGATGGCGCTTTCGACTTATATATACCAGTGGGATAAAATATGAAAATATTTGTTAATGACAGAAATTTAAAAATATATATAATACTATATCCTCTATATGATTTTCTTCGGACAATATTATTTAGATTATTCATTATTAGGTAAAATTATTTTCTACCGCCATCTAGTATAGTTTTAAAGTACCAGTATATCTTAGTTCTTTATAAAAAAAAAGGTGGCGATGTAAAGGTTTCATCGTAATGTTGTAATTAAAAGTTCATTCTGAGAATAAAGAAATTTATATTGGACGACTGCGTTTTCTTGAAAATATAGATTTTTCGAGTACCGAAGCACATGAAAACGACGGTGGCCTTATTTTTTTTTTAATGCGTTTTATCCTAGACATACGTAAAAAGAGTGAGTCATTTAGTTGAGAGACTGGGAATGTGTATTTTATAGTCGGTCTACGATTTAACGTGTTGACCAGGCGGGGTGGAGAAAGTGGTGGGGGGTTAAAAAGGCCGCTTTACATGAATAGTTTCCTTTGTATATCTTACTAAGTTTAATCGCCTTCGGCGCTGAGAAAGTCATATTAAGAGACTAGTGCATTTTCATTATCGGGATAATAAAAAGCAAATTCTATAATGGTTTGTGTAAACCGAGGTATAATATATTATAACTTCAGATAAAGAAATCTAATCTATCTCAATTATAAACTGAAATTATTTTGATTTTTCTTTTATTGTTGCGTGCACTTTTATTGTAGGTACCAATGTAATTTAAGAAAAATCCAGTCAATACCAGCGGTTCTTGAACTCTGTTTATGATTATTTTGTAGTGTTTTTTTTCTGTTTTCTTATTGTGACAATGAAAATGTGCAGAAAAAAGTGCAGAATCTCTTGTTCCGATGTCTATACCAATGATGTACATAAAACTATCGCACGACGGATGTATGATATCGCTGTTCCGTTAGCGTACGATAAGAGAACATTTAGGCCTCTAGCCTGAGAGTAAACGAACCCATTATATTAGTATATCAATGGACTTACGACACGACTTGATAACCTTACGACCATCCGCCAAATATCGTTACCAACTGTCAAAATATTAAAATCAGTCATTAACCAGTGTAAACTTATCAGACAGGTCATTATGCCAAAAAATCTTATCTTTTTTATATTAATTAATTATTTACACAGGTGTTAAGATATTGCTTGTTCTAAAATACATTCACACTTATGCAATATTTTAATTCACACATTTTTTACTTGTACTTTTACTAGCGTATGAATGAATCTAATAATACCTCTTGTAAAAGTTTGAGTGACAACCCTACAACTAACCCGTACGCTGCACTTCGAGCAATAGTCTATGCTAAAGCTCTATACACACAGACGCCAGCAAATCACAAAATTGTTCTCAACTAAAAAGTTGTGTGAAAACTTACCTGGGGTCGTCCGTCATTGCTGTAACATGGGGCTAGTCCGGTTCGTGGTGTATGGTAGTAATCCTGTGCCGCGATATACGCGGCTATCATTAGTATGCAGTATATATACAAAAAGGGCCGCGCCATTTTGGTGGAGCGCCCGAACCCACGTTCAACGCGGCTGCTTGCCCGGCGAGCACTGACGCCAGGCCTGTTTCACAATACCTAGCCAAAGACCAGACACCTCCATAAGGCAGACTTTATATACATTTCACCTCTGTGAGGACAAAAACTGTTTGATATTTGATCGTTTATTTTAAGATCCATTTATTTTATGAGTTTCTATTACGAGTAATTAAAAATTCTTTATTAATTATGTAAAATCAGATAGTTACTTTATGAATAGTGATAAGATAAGTTGTGAAGGACAATTATTATTACAGTTTTTACTTAATTAAGATGATTATGAACGGAACCAATAAATATGAACTGATTAATATAAAAAGTTAGAAAAACTTTATATAACAATACACTAGTTACTTTATTTATACATGTAACATAGCTCTGTAAGGTAATATAAAATTTAGTAGATCTGAATAACAGTTTTAACCAAATAAATAACAATGACTATAGCTAATTTCAATAATTCATATATATACAAACATACCTGCATAAACCTAAACCCAGCCCATACCTATAGTAACAAATAATATGTTACTGCTTATGTGCTATATTCATCAAATATTTTTATGAGGTAAATAAACAAAATCTCTGTACCATTAATTATAATATAGAGTTTAAAATATAGCTAAATCAATTAAATACATAAATATAAAAAAAGAGAACATCATAAGCTTGTATAGGTACAACACACAAACATACAAACGTGTGTTTTGTCTTCTTTTCATTTAGTCTATGAATATCTTCTCAGCTTAGAGAACGCGGCCTCATAATGCCGACCGCTTTTTTGTGAACAGATCTGAAAGGTCTGCGCTTTTGTTTCTGTCAGAATGCCACCATGTGGTATAGGTTTGAAAAAGAATTCGGCGAACCGAATAAACCTACGCGTCTTTTGCAACATTTCAAGTATTAAATGGAAATATTTTTATAACTACTCAAACTTAGATGAAGTTTGAGAAGATATAAAACATTTCCAACTATAACATTTTAGATATTGCCTACTAGTCTTTGACGGCGGGTCTGTATCGCTCCCAGGCTTTGTCCCGAAATTTAGCTGAGCTCGCTAAGTGCATTAGGTCATGCAGCCTTGCTATCTCGTTTACACTCGTATTCTTCATCCCTCTTGTCCTAGGGCTTGCTCTGCCTGGGAGAGCGGTGCATCTGCGCCTGTCCGATACCCAGGGTAATCTGGTGATATGCAAAATACATACATAGGTATATGCAATTAATGCTAGCTTTATTGATTGTACATCGAACCAGGACTAATTAAATTAATGGAAGCTGTATCCATTTTCACAAACAAAGATGAATTATCCTACTGTCTGCACTCACCTTTGTTCCAACAGCATTACCGACTCGTTTAATAAAAATTTGTACGGTATTGTGGACGGAAAAAGTAGCTCCTCTCTTTTTCTTTTATTTGTTTTATAGCTTTTTAATAAAAATGTGTATACTAGTTTATTTTTTATGGTAATTGTAACATTTTATTACCACAATAAATAACGTTCCTGGACTTTTAGACTTTTTCTTTAAAGAAAAATTAAGTTAGTAAAACCTTGAAGAGAGACAATAGATATGAAAAGAGGTGTTTCTCAGTCTCGAAATGTTAAGACATAATCTAAGAATATGGAAAAAATAAATATTAGAATAATCTTCGCTAAATTGTGTGTTACAAACTATTCACCTTTGTATGCAATACCAATTTATTCATTGTGATAGAATTTGCAGACTCGGACTAACCTTAACTTTTGCACAGTTAAAGAAGACTTACGAACTTAGTAACAATGAGAATAACTTCTTAGAGTCTCTTGAGAACTTTATAAATCTTATTTCTTTTTCTATGTGACTTCAACGGCAAATATAAAGTACCATCTATTTGAAAGTGACCGTTGCCAACATAAACGGCTCTACAAGTCTACTCGTCGTCTCCCATTGCAATTGTTGTCTATTTTGTCACAAAATTCTAATAAACTAAATCTCATATACGTATTCAAGACAAAGAAACTGATAGGCATGTGTTGAGGTTTTATAGTAAACTAACTATTGCCACATGGCATTGAATTTAAATTAAAGGATCGAGCGACTTTATATTAAACCAGAAGGTTAGAATATGCAATACTTTTAACTATTATTTCTTACTTTAAACAGATCGAAACTTAAAGTTTTTTGATTGTGTAAAAACTATAACTGTTTTGTAGTTCATACATAAATTCGGAATTTCAGTCTATTTAAAATAAAAAAACGTTCTAACTGCGCTATATAACAAAACCAAAGCTAACTTTCTTACCTATCATTTCTTTAATACTGATCGCCAACGTATATCATAACGGCAGCCCCAAAATATGATTATTTATTCGAATAAATGTCTAGGTATATGCAAAACTACTAATGAGAAACCTTTTTTTATCAAAGTAATCAACAAAGTAAGTTCGGAATAAAGTCCTCTATTTTGATATATCCAATTACATCATCAAAAGAATGTATTTTATAAACAAGCATCCTTTTTATTTATAACGTATACAGATTATGTCATCTCATCATGTACATATGTTGGACAACTGTCTGGGGGCACTCCCTCGTCTCATGTGTATACCTACAGTTAATACCTATTATACAGGAGTGAATTTATGTTCGTCAATGTGTGCGTGCGAGACAGGATGGTTGTGGAAGTCTGGGAGGGTTGGTTTCCAGAGAAACTAACACTAATCAATATTGGCTGCTGTGCGTTATACAGTTTTATTACCTATAGATAGTTTGTATCGGGGATGCTGTGAAGCATTTGCATTTCCCCATCTATGATACCTATTCATTTATAAACTGTTGTTAGTGCTTTAAACACTTTTTCTCTCAGTGTACCTAACATTATTGTTTGTAAACAAGTTTTTAAGTTAAATGGTGACATTGTATTGTATACAATTCACTGAAATTCAAATTAACTTATTTGAATTGGATTGTATTAATTTATTACTGATTTAATATTATGGCATTTCATTTAGCCTATTCATTTTACAAATAAGTAATAACAATATTAACTAAATATTCATTAGATATTTTTTAAAATATTTAATTTAACGAATCCGTTAAAATGCATTTTTTTAAAACGATTTTACTGGTCAGACTACTTACTATACCCACCACATTATTTCCGATGGTCTTCCCATATTTCTGTATAATAGAAATATATGTATTCATGAGTACGTCTGTTTGTTTTGGTTTAAGTGTATTTCAGTATATATATATATATATATACACTCGTCTAATCCATAACACGAACACTGCTTAGATTAACACTAGATATTGTTATGTGAGTTGAAGATTTAATTTTAAAATGCACTTTTGTTTATGTAATACCTACTAATGTGTTTCTGTAACGAAATATGAAATTCGTATCTTGTGATGAGAGATAAATAAACGGGAACTGCTTTTGTAAGAGCATGTGATAACGAAGGTCAAAGAACTCCATGTCATGTAGATAACGCTTATTTTAATCCCAGTTTTATAGAGCAACCTAATTAGTTTGTTGACACAATGACACGAGAGAATTTATTATTTCCTATAAGTATCGTGAAATACTGTTGCTTGTGAAATGGTGAAGACATTCTCCAAAAGTCATCGGCGTTGTTATCTGCGTTGTAGCCGTCATCAAGCAGCTTGCTTAGCAAGATGTGTTTGGGTTTTCTTTAATGGAATGGTGCTCTCGCCTGCGCTAACGGTATCCGCTGGCGGGGCACCAGTGGAGGGTCCTAAGATGTCTATAAGGTTACATCCGTTCCGGTTAGTCCGTCGTAGCAAATCCACTAGGTATTTAACATGATGGTTTCCAGAAACCACGTGGAGGTCAACCTGACCAGCCATGGGGTTGTTAATCCAAATTACTAACAATCCCCTTTCTCCCAGGCTGGTGATTACTGCTGGCATTACATACATGATATCGTGATGTCCGTGCTACTGTTTAGATATATATAGGCGACAGTTACCACTTGTTTACTAGTTACATAAAATAATGACAATAAAGACAGCCAAAATCTATACTGTACAAATGTAGATATGTTTTTATAGACTAGACCAGTGGAAAATGAACGTTCCCAATAAAATCCAGCGCAAAAATCAATTCTTTCTACTTCTTCACATCCTTGTTGAATTTACCCTAATTTAAGCACGTTTACAGACGGTCAAGCATAGAAATCGATCTGACAAAGTACATTACTAACTATAGCGGCTCTAGTCTCAGCAATCTCCTCCCTGTTTTTATTAAATTATAAGAAAATAATACGATATAAGAGTACAAGACTAATTTAATTTTTATGAAACTATTATTGAACATCAAGCTCCCAGACGTTGGGGTGGAGCGACAACAAAAGCGTCGCAGGGATTCAATAAAGGTATATATCTACTTACGGCGCAGTGCCGTTCTTTGAGGCAGTCTGGGGCAGACACCTGTATTTCGAAATAAATTATGTCTGTTTAAAATAATTAGAATGAATGCAATGTTTATTGATCCAAGAAAGGTCACTGTACTGTATCTTCATGAAGATTCGCATATGGGGTGGACAGAGAGAATGGAAAACTTATACATAGTATTGTTTTAGACATGCAGATGCACTACTGGTTACCTCAATAAGAGAATGCGAATCTATTTAATTTAACGACAATCTACACATATAATATACACGTAAGATTAGTTACATTGTCTGTCTGTACATGGAAGATATAAGAAGCTGTTATAGGTGGACTTTATCAACCAAAATAATGTGTGTTAGAATCTTTGTCTACTTGTCTGCACGTTTGTGCACTGTAATCTCAGAAGCGGCTTACTCAGAAAGTATTGTGGTAGTTTAATTTTTAGTTCTTTCCAATCGATTCATAAAATAGACATACTGGTACGAAATCGAGGGACATGCTTGTAATGTAATAAATCTATACATTGCAAAGTTAATCACCCCAAACCATCCCCTTTTGACGGCTATATCAATACTCATATAGCATACTCGTACACACACAACAAGT